ACACACACACACACACACATATATATATATATACTTTATATTTTAGAAATGCAGTTATCTTCGGATTACATAGAAAGATACTTAGGAAAGCTTGATATGATACAAGAAAGTAAGCTTCTTCAATTACGACAAAGCATAAAGGAATTAAGAGGCAGTTCAATACCTGGAGATGCTACTCTTTTAAGATTTTTAAGAGCTACCGAATTCTCAGTCGAGAAAGCAAAAGAAATGCTTACACAAACACTACATTGGAGAAAGAAGCATCAAATTGATAAATTACTTGAAGAATATGAGATACCACAAGTAGTGAAAGATTATTTTCCTGGTGGCTGGCATCATTTTGATAAAGGTATCCTATATCTTTTATTTCTACTTGTAATAAATAAAGATCATTTTTATCTTCAATTAGACATTTCATAATTAGTTATAATACATACTAGAAAATTCATTAATTTGTAGATGGTCAACCTTTATATATTTTAAGAATGGGACAAATGGATGTAAAAGGATTATTAAAATCTATTGGGGAAGATGACTTGCTGTTGCTAGTAAGCTTATAGTAATAATTATAAGTATTAATAATATATGCAATACTACATATATTATTACATATATTAAATTATAATAATTGATTATAATAATTGATGTTATTCATATATTTTATAGTTTTTTACAGCATTCACAATTAGTGTTGCCATTGTAGGTATTGCATATTTGTGAAGAAGGATTGGTTTTAATGGAAGAAGCAACTGCTGTTTCTGGTCATCCAGTTTCACAATGGTGTCTATTAATAGATCTTGAAGGTTTAAATATGCGCCACTTGTGGAGACCTGGTATAAAGGTATAAAATTTATTTAATATGGTTTAATATTTTTTGAAAACAAAAAATTTGACTCTATTCATACACAATATGAATTAATGTATTATTGTTTTATGTACTCATCTAAATGAAAATAATTATTTTGTAGATATAAATATGTCACTAGAAGTATAAACTGTTTATAATATATTTTTATTATAGGCTCTGTTACGTATCATCGAAATCGTTGAAATAAACTATCCAGAAACCATGGGAAGAGTTTTAATTATGCGAGCGCCCAGATGTTTCCCTATTTTATGGACATTGATAAGCACGTTTATAAGTAAGTAAATAATATTTCTTTCTTAAAATTATTATTTATTTCTTAAAATTATTATTATGATTATTACACATTTCATCTTTTATTGTTGTATAAAAGTGTATTATTCTATTTAAATTTTTTGTACAGATGAAAATACAAGAAAAAAATTCATCTTTTACTGTGGTACCAATTATCAAGAACAAGGTCCAGGCAGCCTAAGTGATTATATAGATTCTGAATTTATTCCAGAATTTCTCGGAGGATTGTCTGAGGTAAAAATAATTATATATAATTTATTGATGCTTAATTATCTTATATTTATAGAAAATATAGTTTTAGCGTGAAGAAAAAAATGTTTTTTCTAAAATTAACAATTAATACTATAAGGTATTGCATATACATATTATGTAAATATATATTTTTATATAATATTATTTTCGTGTTTTCATTATATAAGATATGTGAAAATGCAAAAAGTAGTACTTCCAGCGTCTTTAATATTTAGTATTAAATTATATACTTAGCAATAATGTATTTTAACTACTAGGACAATGTATGCGAGGTTTATAATATGGTACCTCGAAGATTTTATATTTTCGACGCATCTGCTAATAACGTAAGAATATATTATGTTTGATACACACATACACACAAATGCGCGCGCAATATGACTATACGTATGCATTATTGCAAATCCGAAAACTTAATGTACACGTTTTTGTACCACATTAGCCGTGATTTTGTACCACATTAGTCCTGCCAATATGCATTATTATGCTATTCATAAAATATTTAACATATATTTTTCTATTAATATCAGGCCTACATCACTGAAGGAGGAATTGTACCGAAACATCTATATAAAATGGAATTGGAACCTACATCAGCTCAAGAAGAGCATAATCTGTATCATTCTATTAGCTTAAGCCGTGGACAAATTCATCGTGTAATAATTCGTTGTAATGACCCAGGAGCAGTTTTAACATGGGATTTTGATGTAATGCGTCATAATATCATATTTACCGTACTTTATCAAGCTTATGATGATGCCAAAAACCTTTCTTTAGGTACGTATATACAAAATAGAAATATAAATAAAATAGAAATTATCAATTGTAAAAAATAATGCTTTATTGGAATTCCTTGCTTCAAAGTATTGTTCCTTAAATAGTTAAGAAATATATAGAGTAATAATTATCCTATGTATACAAAAATTGTATGTTAGTATAAAATGCAATATATGATGTCATTTTAATCGCTAGACAACAATAATGAACTTGATTTGTCAGATTATGAGATATATCTTAATTAGCACTGTAATTGTAATAAACGTCTCAAAATAAAATATGTACTGTTAACAAGACTTTTCGCAGCTATAGTTTTGCAACAAGTTTTAGAATATGTTCTTATAAACTATTAATTTCATAAAATTTTTCTTCTTCATGTCTCCTCTCATTATACTTTTTGAAAATCACCAATATCCGACAAAGAAGATATTACAAGAATTTTAATATAATTTAGAAAAAAAAATTTGATATTATATTATAAAAATATTATATTAAGAAATACATATTTCATAATATATTTTATTTGAAATAATTATATGAGTAATCAATATAAATTTTTTAGAGTCTGTTACGGATGAAGATACAGAATTATTAGAGATGAAAGAAATTAAAGGACATTTTATTAAAGTCGAACCAAGCGTTGTTTGTCATGATGGTGAAAGTATTCAAGTAAGTACATAAAAAAATTTATTGATGTTTTTAAATATGTACAAAAATTCTAACATGTTTTCTAATAATTCAGTTCTCTATTTTTTAATATTGTACAATATAATTCTTACTCTATAAAAAAATCTAATTGTATTTAGATACATATAACAATCATAACTTTAATAGGGTTCTCATGTAATGCAAGATGCGGGTATATATATATTACAATGGAACAATCAAGATGATCCAGGAGAATTTCTTCCATCTATTAGTGGTCATAAAGCTCAGCTTATGTATTTTTACGAAACATTATCTTCAATTCATTACAGGTATAAATAAGTAATAATAATAATAAATTAACAGTAATTTATATTGTATATAAATATTTAATTATAATTGTGTGACCTAATTTTTAGGGGATCTATGATGAGTTTGCAATCTGCTATAAGTACAAAATCAGAAGCAACTTCATTTTTGTCCAGATGACGTGTAAACCATCCATTATAGAGCATTTACTAATGTTTGGAATTACCAAAACATTGAAAAAATGGCTTTATTTAAATAAATTTATTAATTTGTTTTAGAATTTCTTCCATATTGCAATGATATTATATTATTATGAATCTTAGTTCATAACAACACTATATTTTAAGTAAATTACTAATGTAATTATTCAGTAGAATGCACGAAATTTTAATTCTAAAAATATGTAAAACAATTTAGAGTATAATTAAGATTTTAAATTTGGAATTAACATAGTGGAAACATTAATATTCCTTTATGTTCATTTCAGTCTTTTAGTCTCTATTTAAACAGTGTATTTATCTATGTACTTATATTTTTTGTATCTTTTCCATTCTTACTCAGTTTTCTTAGAACATGTAGCTGGTTATATTTATATCCTTGTAGAAAAAAATGTAATGTTATTAACTATTTTTTTACAAATAAATATATCTAATAAAAAGAAATTAGAGCATTGTGAATAATGTGGCCAAAATTATATTTTAACATATAATCAGAAGCTATATTCTACATTTCATAAGAAAAAATGATTGAAAAGAAATAAAGTAAAGATAAAGCATAAAATATTTCAATTCTTTTTAAAGGATTCGTTTAGTCAATCAATTTAAATATACAATACAATTTACAATTAAATTTAATTACATGATTCAAGCCGCTGTTTCGATCTATTATAGCCTCTGTTGTAATTATATAACATATTGTGAAATTATTTATTGTCATCTAACTCTAAAGCTAGTTTACCAATCTCAATTTGAATTTTGACGAGAGAACAAACTCGACAAAAGCAAATCCAAGAAAGAAGTCTTCAAGCTTCACATCCAAAAAGAAATCGACGAGGTGACACGTAAGAACTAAAATATGATAGATATTAAAATATTAACAGATACTTGAAGTAGAGAGCGAGAATTCAATTGCCAGATAAAATAAAGTGATGTCACATTATTTTTACTGCTACTCTACTCTCCCTTTGGCGAAGTCCTTCATATAAAAACAGATCATATTTATTTATCTAATCATAATGCCGGTAATACTAAATTCTAAATCCTAATCTGACAGATGATGGGGCATGAAAAATCATTGGATGTCTGGTCTATCTTATTAATCAATACTAAGTGATCAAAGGATTATCTATTCTGTTTTTAACTAGTGGTGTAATAAATACACAATACGCTAGATCGTATGTTTTTGTTCATATAAATTATTATTCCAATAGCAGGCATTTTTTATTCTTTACTTTCAAGAAAAGTAATTTATGCATAAAAATGTATTTATTTTCAGAAAGTTTCAATTTTGTTCTCTCTTAATTAATATAATTTTGTATTTCAATTTCTTAATAGGTTAGAAAACAATAGGTGCTATTAAACTATTAAATGTTGACGATTGAAAGAAATATGGATAAATCTCAGATTGATGAAAATAATTTCTTCTCTAGAATCCAGTACGCATTTCCTATTTTATATGATGAGGTTTGTTTATATTTTGTAAATATTTTGAAGATATAGTAGTAGTTACAATATTTTATTGAATATTTATAATATAATACATAATCAGAAATATACGTATAATAAATTTAAGATAACCTAATAATTATTTCAGATTCAAAATGAATGTACAGATGAAGAATTCACTAATGTGATTAAAGTAATAAAAAAATTGGATTTAGTACAATTTATTGAACATTTAGTTATTCATCAAATACAGGTGTATATTAGACAAAATGTAGCACCTACATTTTGGGAACAATTTACAAATGATTTGAACGAACAGCAAGGTTTTAATCATTTTAAAACTGCAGTAGATGGATTATATACAAGTTTAACAGAATTTTTACCATTATTGAAAAGGTTAGAATACCTAACACAAGAAGAAACGACTCAATCAACAAATGTAAATAATGTACTAAGTCAATTTAAATTAATTGTACGATCTACATTATTGAGTCAGTTACCACTTCATTATGAACATATTGTTGAACAATTTTATAAAATTGCATTTAATGTATTTTGTAGTGCAGATAATTCTGCACAAGGTACATAACATAATATTTAACTTTTTAATATTATTTTAATCATAATAATTTAATTGCAGGGAATTAAATATCCTACTTATATTTGTATTAAAACTGTTTACTTTACAGTAACTACTGGAAGTGATTCTGTTCAATGTATGGGTTGTCATCAAGAAGTAGAAAAATGTCAATGTCAAATGATTGTATTTATGTTCCATGAAACAAATAGAAAATTAATTGAATTAGAACTATTAGAAAGATTAGTTGGTAATGTTCTTACATCTTTGATACACATACGTATTAAAAATCACGTTAGCCAGTCATGCGATAAAATATTTGACGTATCACAGTTAAAATCATTAGAAAATGTAAGATTTTGTCATACATACATCTATATAAATTGTACTTACCTGACTCTTATGTAATATGTAATAAATAATATAATCATATTTTATTTCACAGTGGCTTGAAACAGTTGTTATGAGTTGGTTAATAAGGATATATTCTGGTGGATTTTCGAAGATTGTATCCTTAACGGATCAAACTCGTAATGCTATAGACAAGTTCAAGCAAAAACTATCTCATTTTTTATATGAGACATATACAAAGTTTAGAATTGAACAACTCTTTGACATTATAATAGGTTGTTAAAATGTAGTTCATATATCTTGTTACTTTTTATATTTATATATATGTTACTTATAATTCTTTTTGTTTAGAATACCCAGATTCTCAACCCGCCATAGATGATTTGCGCATTTGTTTAGAACGAACGGATTTGCGTAAAGTGTTAATAGAAAGTCTACAAGAAGCATTAAAAACAAGATTATTGCATCCAGGTGTAAATACACCAGATATAATAACAGCTTACATTGCAGCTATAAGGGCATTAAGACAATTAGATCCTACAGGTGTCCTCCTTGAGACAATAACAGAACCTATTAAGTAATTATTATATTAACATCAATTATTATTAAAATATATTGAAATAATTTGTTAAATTATCAATGAATTTTTTTAGAGTTTACTTAAGAACAAGAGAAGATACTGTGCGTTGTGTGGTGAGTGATTTGCTTGATGACTCACCAAGTGACCTAGCAGATGAATTAGTCAAGGGTGAATCTTTACAATTAGATGATGGTTCTGGTGACGAAGAAAATGAAGATTGGGATAAATGGATGCCAGATCCTGTCGATGCTGATCCTGGTATGTTTATAATATCTAAGATGTATACAATAAATTAAACAAAGTACATATTTGGATTTACTAAAATAGATTTTAATCTCTTTTCTATAGCAAAATCAGCACAACGCAGAATGTCAGATATAATATCAATGTTAGTAAACGTATATGGAAGTCAAGATCTATTTGTAAATGAATATCGCACATTATTAGCAGACAGACTATTGTCTCAACTAAATTACCATACTGAACGAGAAATCCGCCATTTAGAATTATTAAAAAGGCGTTTTGGAGAAAATCAACTTCATTACTGTGAAGTTATGTTAAAAGACGTTTATGATTCTAAAAGAATAGATGGACATATACAATCTGATGCCAGTTATACCTTAGAAAAAGAACATTTTCCTACGTCTGCGTTAATATTATCAGCACAATTTTGGCCACCATTTAAAGAAAACTGGAAATTGGAGTTACCTAGAATTGTGCAAAATCAGTTAAATAAATATGTAAAAGCATTTGAAACTTTAAAAGGAAATAGAACACTTTGTTGGAAACCTCATCTTGGAAATGTTACTTTAGAGATTGAATTAAAAGATAGAAAATTAGATATAAATGTAACACCAATTCATGCTACAATAATCTTACATTTTCAAGACAAAAGTAAGAAATGTTTATATACTGAAATTTTATTATAATATTTTGTAAATATACGTAAAAGTTTAAACATTAATATATCGTATTTCTGAATTTGCAGAAGAATGGGCTCTAGAAGAACTTGCAGAAGTAATGCATGCTCCTGCAACTGTATTAAGAAGAAAAATAACTTTTTGGGTTTCGCAAGGTCTCTTGAAAGAAATTTCTAATGATGTCTTTATCTTGCAAGAAGAAAGTTCGACAAAAAATAGATCTTTATCAGATATTGTTTTGGAAGAAGAAGTAGAAAGTGCAATGGCGTCCGCAAGTGATCAAAGAGAAGAAGAACTTCAAGTATTTTGGTCTTATATTGTTGGGATGTTAACCAATTTAGATTCTATGCCTTTAGAAAGAATTCATCAAATGTTAAAAATGTTTGCGTCTCAAGGTCCAGGAGCAATGGAATGTGGTTTACCTGAATTGAGACAATTTCTTGATAGAAAAGTTAGAGAACATCAACTATTATTTTCAGGTGGCTTATATCGTTTACCAAAATCATAAAATTATAATTATGTATTATGTATTATGTAATATATGATAAACACATCAATATTTAAGAAACTCATTTCATATAATAAAACCAAGACTTACATTATGTATATATGTATTATACTATATCATATTATACTCAAAGTTTAAATATACTGAATTTAACTTTTTAACAACATTTAATTTTAATTATGTATGAAAAAAATGTAAATTACATTATAATTATATAACAGATATAGCTGCAACAAAATATTTTCGTAGTGCATTTATAAATAAAATGCTCAATATGATAAATTTAATACTAATAGAGTTGCATGCACATCAATTATAAATGTTTATAAAATTTATGTTGTATAATATTAAAAGTATTTAAAGTATCATACATATAATTTAATTGTATATTATATTTCAATTTATAAAATTCAATAATTTTACATATCATTTGCATTTAACATAAATTTTTAAACATAACTTTTAAATCTATATTTCCTTTGTACTTAGGAATATTAAAATATTATATAAATATTATACATATATAGCAATTTTTTTTACCCTTTTCTTATATGTATGGAAAAGTTGTAATGAATAATTAAACATTTAATAAACGAATCTTTTGGATAGTTTGAAAATAAAATTATTATTTATATTTTGATCTATACTTACTACATATTTTGTATTGTTGATATAAATATCAACACTAAAATAAAATATAAAACAAATAATTTTAATAAATTTTGACAAAAATTAAGCAATTGTTGTGATAAATGTAAACAGTAAATACAAATATATGTATTAACAAAACTGTATACATACATATATAAATCTATGTATGTATATGTATATGTATATAAAGGTACATATACATGCTATTTGAATAAGTATTATGATTACAAATAATGTTTACTTCTTAATTTCATTGTTATATATTTGTAAATAATTTAATCTGATTTAAATAATTTGGATGAAAGTAGTTTTAATGTTTTATGATATATATACATATGTATATATATATATATATATATCATAATGTTTTATAATTAATAATAGTTTATATATATATACTGTTATTAATCATAAAACATTATAGAAATAAACAAATATTAACTAGTTTTTGCCATAATTGATTATTAATAATATTTATAACAAAAAGAATCTGTGTTAGTATTATTAACATGAATACAAATTATATTTTATACATAACATTTTAAAGTTACAGTTCTCTACAAATACAATGAGAAAATGTATTGTTAATTTTCTGATTGTGATAAAATATTAATGATTATTATACATTTATTTCAAAAATAAATGTCTCATGTAAGAGGACAATATATATATATTATAGTATTATCTTTTAACTATGTTTTATAACATGTGTATGTACCTGCAATTGTATAAGACTTAAAAATATGTAAGTTCATCTACATATAAACAATCAATGAATACACATTATAATTTGTTTAACAATACAAGGGAAAATTAAAAAATGGAGATAATTTTGCCGAATTTATAATACATATCAAATATCTTGAATTCAGTATCACATGCAAGTATTTTATGATATGTATGGTAATAATATATTCTTATACATAAGTTTAGAAATTTTTAATTTTTAAGAAAATACATAATTTTTAGTTTAGATTAGTAGAAGTTAATTTTTGAAATTTATAACACTTTTGCTCTTTATAATGTAGCTCTCTATCTTTCATTGTTAAAAAAATGTATAATCTGATAAATAATTTTTACTTTTTTATTCAAAAGAGTAATCGATGTTCAATATATACTTTGTTGAACATTAAAATATTATGTATTTTAAAATAATGAGTTATGTATCTTTTAGTGATCAAGAGTTCAAAACTGAAACATTTATTAGATGAATCACTATATGTACTAATAATATCATTATTGCACTAAATACACGACAGAAGTTTCATCAATTTTTAACTTTCCCTCTTTTTATATATTTTTATAAAATATCTGTTTTTTTTTTTGAATCATTATTTTGAATTACATATTGTATTAAAATATAGTGGATATACTACTTTAAGCTATAAACTTAAGTAGAATTCAGATCACTCCTAGTACAATTAGATCGTGAAACATAATCTATTTACACAAATAATTGTCTGTCCTTAGTCGAAAATATGAGAAATACTTGTTTAAAGTACAAGCATGTTATACAGATCATCAATATACACAAATGAACATGATAGAAAACTCCTACTATTACATGTACATATGGCAAATCTAAAGAATCAACAGAATATTGTTTGTATATCTAAATGATATATATTGACTGGTAAATAAATCAATCTCACATATAAACACTCTCATCTATATAGATAACTTCATTATATAACATTATAAATGTAGATATATTGCAAATAACAATGAAAGTAATAAACAACTTTCATTTTGTTCTTTGTCTTAATTAAATTGCTCACCATTTGTAGGAATATCGTTTTTAAACAATCTTCCCTAATCTACATTTATAAAAAAAAGAAAAATAAATGTTTTTTATGTGATTTATCTAGATATAAGCAAAATTGAAAATATTTCATAAATGATTGAAATCTATTATTTTACAAGTAAATTGCACCGTAATATAGTATAATAGAATTTTCAAATCATAAAATAATAAAATGTTATATATATATATATATATGTATATATGTGTGTGTGTATATATACATATATATATATATATATATATCTTTGTTAAAAAATGGAGATTCTTCCTAGCCACACAACAAACCAATATATTTAAAGAGACATTTTATACTCTTAATTAATACTTAATTAATATATCAAAAATATTTTGATTTCCTCAGTTTTTGTTGATCAAGCTAATTAGAGTTAACAAATTAATAAGAGTTGTAAATTCAAAAAATCAGATACAAGGTAATATTTTACGTAATATTTTACGGTGATATTTAGTGATATAATGTATTTAGTAATATTTTACTTATGATCAAATTTGACATGTAAAATTTTTATTTTTTATTTATGTTATGTTATGATTCACTGTGTATTAATATTACATTTAACATGCTATTATTGGTATAAAATCCTATCTCTGTAAATAGCTGTCTCATTTAACTTTAATATAGAAATATTTCGAAATTTTTGTTTTCAAATTGTTTTCTTTTTTTCGAAATAAATGATTCAATTTCACTCAAAAAGTATCAAAATGAAAACAAATTTTGATTTTATATTGCACTTATTACTCGTGGATATATTATTTTCTAAGTTACCTAAAATACATAACATTATTTAAATTTTTAGCCCCTTTTTCTCCCTATTCATTTTATTGCTTTAATACGGATGTAAGTACTGAAAAATTGATATAATTATTATGCAGAAAACTTCATTTTATAATCTGCGATAATCTGTTCTAAATAGAAAAATGTATCACTTAAAATAAATTTTTAATATATAGGTCATCTGTGATATAACAGGTGATATAAGAGGTGTGATATAACAGAAAAATGAGATTCTCATATAAATAACGTATTAAAAATTTTAAAAATAATTTCCAAAAAATTGTAAGTATTTTCTACTTATAGTTACATACACATAGATGTAAAGTTAGGTATGTAATGATATAATTGCTTTTATTGGATTGGATCATGAAGTTATCAAATGTTAAATGTATCTTACTCGATTATAAATATATCAAATGTTATCATGAATGTAACATACATATATTGGTGGAAATCTAATGTTTCGCTTATATTAATTAAAGTAATATTTCAAGTCAAGTATCTTTAAAGCATTATCCAAATGGAAATACTATATGTATATATAGTAGAATCAAAAGTTATAATTCTTAAAACAAAAGTTATAATTCTTAAAAGAAAAGTTAGTAATTCTGTTTCTTGTATGAATGTTTCATGATATATATTATTGAAGATTCGAATTTCAATGATCATACATACTTGTAGCAGAAATATGTACAAGAAATATGCACTGATGTTACATGTAACAGAATGAATTTTACAAATATTGAATTTAAATTAGATAAAGAAAGAAAGAGTAATAAAAAATGGAACAATCTAATCTAAAAAAGATAATAAAAACTAATATTGTTCCATATTATAGCATGTTATAAGTTGATCATAGTATTACACACTTTAGGAATTTCTTTTATATCGATTACACGAACAATATAATTTATAAATCATGCATACACATATTATCTTTTGATAGATAATTCAATGAATATTAATTGTAAATGAAGACTTGAAATCATCTTTTTAAAAATCCATTATTTTCTAGTTATATCACGCCTTGTGAAACATTTTATATGGAGAAATTATATTTGAAACTTCGTAACTTAAAATAAAAAAATAAATTAGTAGTTCAACGTAAGAAAACGAACTGTTTCACCATTATGTCAAGACTACCCGACGTTTAAGCAAGTTGACAGAAAATAATATAGTTCTGATAGTACATATTAAAGATGAGAGTAAGTTCTGTATTTAGTGAAGTAGTTTGAAAAACAAGAAAATTAATAATAAAGTATAATAGTGGTATTGTGTTAATTTTCTAACGGGCAATTCATTTTAAATCACGACGCAATAGAACTGAAAAGAATAATTTCAATTTGTCACGTCGGAATGGAAATATTATCGCAAAATTACTGTACGCCCTCCTCGTTGGAAATCAACATGTATTTAATCATAACTATCCCGGCATTACACTATTAAATTGCTTTCTGCTAAAGCAAAATCCTTTCTTGCCCGGTAAGTAACTAACAATCAGAGGCTTTTAATTACCTGTCTAACCTGTTGGAAACGTCAGTAAAAAATAATGAAACGCTAGCGGAACGAGGAAAGCAATTTAAACAAGGCTATACAATTTAAAGATACGAAGAGGGTACAGGATGGATAAACTTGACGAACAACAGGGCTGGTGATGCGAACGGCGAAGGTGGTCATCTGGTTGGTGAACCGATCGAACGCGGATGTTGTTCCAGAGTCCAGGTGTTAGCACGGGGCGAGTGGATTCCATTGTTAGCACTCCAAGCCTATAGGCCATGGGCAACCAAGGTTAAAAAGAAAGAAAAGAAAAACAGTTTGTTAGTAATTTAATTATGATCGATTCATGTTAACATTAAGTTTTTTTGAACAGTTCGATAGTTGAAAGAAATGTAGTTAGTGGGAAGCGTTGCCTTTCTTTAACTCCTGATAAGACATTTGTTTCTTTTAATTTGAGGAATATATAAGAATTGAAAGAATTATAAAAAAAAAGAAAAAAGAACGAATTAAAAGAAACCATGTTACAAAACGAACAACAATTAACAAGCA